CAACAGGCACACGCAAGTGAGCCCCCGCGGATCAAGCGTTGGCGTAGCGTTAACTGCGTGCACGGACTGGAAGCCAAGCGAAACAGACAGCTGCGCACCTCGCTAGGCGGGACTGCCAGCAGGGTATGGTACAAGGAGCCCATTGTGAGCCCACAGCGCTGGAACGCATGATTCTAGTGACGGGACACATATCCACAGGGCGCACAGGCCAGCCCGCGCAGCGAGCGACGAGTCATGACCGCGCGGTCTGGACAGCGGCAACGGGCACGCTCTACGGCGACGCCACGGCTAGGCAGCTCGCCAACGCAGCCAGCCGCATTGGCAGGCTCGCTCAATAGGGCGCACTCTAACGTAACGGTAGCGACGCATGTACCTTTGCACCAAGTACCGGTGCCTTCCCAACCAAGCCTCCAATTTAGCCGCATTCAGCACAGCCGAAGTAGGCGGCCCGGGCGCCTTAAGCGGACCACCCAGCTCAGCGGGCCGCATAGCCGCGTACAGCGGAGCGCCAACGTCGCGGCTGCCACTCGACCCCAGCCGTGCACACCGACGCGGTGCTGGGGTCCTCAGCGCCTTACGACCGGCAGCGTAACCGGGATCTGAGCGGAGTAACGAATCGCAAGGCTCCCTGCCAGCTCCCAGGTACGGTCAGCCTGCGGACACGAGAACAACCGAATTGGCCGGAAGCCGTCCGCTGCAGGTGGCCGGCTCTGTGCTCCACCTCGTCCACGCAGCCTCACACACAGGGCGCGTACCGGGTGCTGGCGTCTATTTAAAGCAACGGAGGGGAAACAGAGCAAAGCACCCGTCCACTGGGACATCGAGCCGTGACGACCTGACCGTGCATCCACTGCGGAGCAGCGCCCAGGTCTGGCTACTACTACGTCACCCACCGGCGGCCAGCACAGCCGCGCCTCCTACACACCGCACCGGCTGTGCTGCTCGGCGCGGCCACCGGAATAGTTTACGCCTACGTCGGTAGCGACATGCCGCATCCGGCCGACGTTGGGGGGGGCCAAGACGACCCATGACAGGCAGCGCACTGACGGCGACAGCGTCCGCCGGTCGCACGCACAGCCCACCCAGAACGAAGCTTCCAGCCCCCCCCGAGTTCACCGGCAACGCTATACCACACTCCGGCGCATCCCCGGAGCACGCGACCCACCTCTACGACCAGCAGCCGCATGCCGGGCCCACACGCCGTCTACACCCGTCAACGGCATACGGGTCCACGAACGAGCAACCCCGGCCGCCGAGCGGGACTGCTTTCTACTACCGTGGCAACGTGGGCCGGGCCGCCACGGCGAGCTTACCCCCTCCAGTGAAGCCCTCGGGTTAACGGGCACAAGAAGCCGCAGCACTCCACTGATCGAGGCTACGCAATAACGCCGGACACGGAGCGCTTCCTCACTAGCCAGCGCTGTGCACGAGTCACCAGCACTCCTTCACTTATCGATATGCGTTTCTTCACCGGCCCTCGACCGAGCAGCTATGGGGGCAGCGCGAAAGACCCACTGAACAGGTACAACTGCCGTTGCTTCCGTGCAACCTACACCAACGGAGCCACGCTCGTGGTACTACCCTAGCCCCGCACGTAGCCGTCGCCCATCACCGCTGAGACTAAGACGAGCTAAGCCCGGTCACGGGACTGCCGGCGCTACGTCATCTATGCTTTGGCGTGGGACACGGACACGTACAGGCAGAGCGAGGGTGACCTACTAGGGCGACAACCGCAAGGAAACAGTCGGGACCAAACGTAGCACCAACGCTTGGCTATCCACGGCGCACGGGCAGCGTTTAGCCACCTGCCGAGGCAGTCTGAGTAGGCGGTGGCGGCAGACACTCGCATCCTGACCGGCTCGACACGCAGCGATGCCTAGCGATGAGTCCACAACCGAATCGTACTGGTGGCGGACCGATCCTACGCTGCCGTCGCAGCTGACAACGGTGAGCCAACCGTGAGCGGCGCCGCCCTCGGTGGGCACGCGCGTGGTACCGGATCCGTACCTATACGCGTGTACGCCACCGAGCCCACAGTCCCGGCTCGAGGAGGACAGGGCGGACGAGCGCAGCCCGGTGCGTCCACACGTTACACGTAACACGCACCACCCCCCAGCCCAAAGTCTCCCACGACGCACACTCAACGCGTTCGGAAGTCATTAGGGCAGCTCAGGGCACTGAGCCGCACTAGCCGCCTCCCACAAACGGTCCGCGACCAGCTAAGCCGCATACACACACACCCGTACCGCTCGGGTCCCCGCCGTTGACAGCGTCAGCGGGCTGTGACGCGCCCTCCACCAGCACGTACGCCTTATAGCACCCCGACGAAAGGGATCGTCAGCCGCTAGCCTGGTTCACCGCCGCCCACAGCACCCACGCACCAACAAACAGACCGAGGTGCTGACGCCCTCCCCCAGCATAGCCCACAACCATTAGACGACTCGAATATCTGGTCCCATGCAGCACATTGCCTACCTCACCCAGCTCGACCACTGACCAGCCGCATCACGCGTCATGGAACGGGGCCCCGGCGCTTATTCATTACCTGCCCCGCCTTTACTGTATGAGCACGTGGGATACCGATCATCGTCCCCCCATGCCGGCGAGGCCTCACAGGATCTTCTGTGGTATTCTGGCGTGTCTCCAAAGACGGGTGCCGCAAACGAGGTCCCACTAGGCGAGCTCACGGATGCCAGCTGTGTCCAACACAGCTACGCACACCACATCTAACCCCGCAGAGTTACGCATCCTGATCGTCCCCAGCGCCGGGCTAGCCGCATTAGACAGCCCAGCTAACCGACATCCCACACGAGCCGGACCACGTAGATAAGGGAGCGAACAACACACAGCCCAGCACACAGAGCGCACACATGGCAGCCGCAACGGTTGGGCAGCCGGCCCACACGAGCCGCATTCACACGCCGATAGCACGTAGTCGATCTGCCTGTCTCAATTATGCCCTCGAGCTAGCCAACGAAGACACGTAGGCCAAGCGACGGGCCGGCTACCACAGACTAACGCGGGGAGTTCGGGGGGGCGGGGGACACGGGTGCCGCCGCGCGGAGCTTACACACAGTGAGAGAGACCGCGGGCGATGCCGCGACGTGGACATAGCGACCACCTAGCCCCCACTCACCCCCTACCCTGCGCATTAAACTAGATTTTATTCAGGCTGTCCTGTGCCCTCTTTGCAGTTTTAAAAAGCGGGTATTGTTGCGGATATCCTGTGGTCTGTAGAATTTAGATGAAATTTCACGTATGGGTAACTTAAAGCAGACATCAGTTTGGGCTTCATTTATTCGGCATAATCTTTGTTTCGGCCCACGTTGTGGTATGTTGTACACGAATATAAGTGTACGCAGTAGCTGCTGTTGTGTTCGTTTTACAATACTGCTACCTATCACAGTTGCTGGCATTTAGTACGAATTATGATGACATACATCTGTGGTTTTAAATCGAAAGCAACGTGCATCCCATACCGTAGAACTCAAAGTATTTCCATTATATTTCGCTGCTATAAAACCAGTAACTGCACACTATCCCAATAAATAATGACAACATCTGGGTTGTCTGCCTTTTACCATTTCCGGATTTACGGCAAAGTTCATTATATGATTTGTCTTATTAAACAAACCAAAATTCCATTACCTCTGTAATTGGCAACTCGCCTATCATAACTTGATTGAGGTATTTGCGTTTCTCCTTTGAGAGACCACAATCGCCATTTGTATTTTGCTATTTCTAGGGATTTCGCATGGCTACACTTCTATTGCAGCGAAAATTAACACCATGGGCGTAAAGTTTTGCTTTGACCTTCGTAGGTATTGGGCGTGCCAATAAAGGATATTCCGTAGTCAGTCCCTCATTAAACACCAGTGTCTATTCAACGTAATACCAGCCTAGTTCATCAGTAATTTTTGGAGTTAGACGATTTACTACGTCAAAATACTGATCAAACTGCAAGACAAATTGAACCACCTGGTGCATCGGAAGTCATTCATCGTATTCCTCATGTATCCTGTTAGTTGTTCTTAAATTTGTTATTGCGCACAGGGATCGTTGCGTCACTCTCTTTAATTTTTAGACAAGACGTGAACCTGTAATTTGATGCATGAGGAATTCTACAAAAATTATATTGTACTACCCCCTATGTGCCAAGGCAAAAACTAGCATTGACATTTGTTTCCAATATTAGTAATAATGCCAAAAATATCCCATGTTCATTCAGCAGTGAAACGGGGAATTTTTCTCTATATACTGGGATACGTCCTACATGGGCAACTTCATAAATTTCCGTGAACAATGCTCACGTAAACGAGGTGTCTGGATATGTATATTTTGAGGCGTAAACATGGAAAAACTGAAGTCCTTTAATGTTCTAAAATCATCTCTTTTGGGAAAGCAGTGCTGGTGTAGTCAGCTGCGCGAAACACACGACATTTCATTTAAATATGTACATTTTCAACTAAAACTTGGATAACTTCATTGGCGTTGGATGTAATGACAATAGCCACACTGTTTACAAGTTTAAACAAATGATAATAAGTAATGCAATCATTCATATAATTGATCAGTCGAGTGCTCAAAAATTGCAGCTTTTTAAGCGCTCTGAAATTCGACATGTGTTTTATTATAGCATATTAGTTTCACACATGTTGAAGTGCTGGTAATTTTGATGACGGTCAGTGACGAACTGCCTTTTACGCGGCGCTTTTGTATGCATTTCTTAGACGCGATAACCTATTTCGCATCGCACCGGTTGTATGTTCAATGAATTAGGGAAATCCAGCCCTGTTTATTTACATGTTTAAGAATACTAATCGCTATAAGTTAATCTCTAGATGCCGGCCTGTCGACTCCAAGGACATCGGTGTTCTATGCAAACATTTCGAGGACATGGCAGCTGCGCTATAATGTGACGTAGGGTGCGAGGCAAAATGTTACCAGTGGCATTTTTGCTGGCTTTGAAGAAAGTGAAGATACACTTCAAACTAGCACGTTCAGCATTTGTGATCAAATGAAAAGGATATATAGCATTACAATAAGGATTCCTTTTGTTACATATATATCTGGTATTTAGTGCATTGTAGGTAACCTGATGGGTCCATAGTTCTTGTGAGAGCACACACTATATATGGCACATATTGCTGCTTACTCGTAAGAGCCTAATCAATGATGGTCTGTTTGTGTTGATACGATAAGGAACTAGTCTATTGCAGCTGGATATAAATGTTAATTCATGCAATTCAACGTCACAAGCTACGCTGCTCTCAAGATGGCTATAAGAAAGATACCAATTGATCAACCGGAATGCATATACACCAGTTGCTGTATGATAGACATACCAGAAAACACGCAGTTTAGGCAACATTAATATTGTTCTGGTATTATTTATTTGATTTGTAGCCATAGGCCTCAAGACAGCTCATTGACGAGGATAATTAGGTTCCGTCAATTGGAAAACACGCCAGCGGTAAATTCGCTGTAAAAGCGTATCGCGATTCATATCTGGCAGGTATTCGCGCAATCTTTCTAGCAAATGTAACGAGGTGGATGCACTCATATAATAGTGCATGCTGGGCAGCGTCAAGTAAGCTAATGTAGCAATTAGGACATTGTTGCGAACATAAGCGCCACTACATTTTTACTACGGAACTAATTAATCAGTATCGCGGCAAAGGCCTATAAAACTCATCTTTCCTAATAAAATGTATTCATGTTATTGGATTGAATATAATCAATTGACAACGTCAGGGAATGTGAGCGTTTTCGGCAGCTAAACATGCGGAACGTACGCTTAATGGCTGCTTAACGCAAGTACGTAATCAAGTGGTAGGCGATTGATAAGACCAATGTATCCATTCATCTTTCAACCCTAATACGCATGGTAATGTAAAATTAGAAACTAATAAAGGTTAGACGACGCTAGAATGTGCAAGACCAGGACCCAGTTTCACATGCAGGAACTACAAGGCGTCAAACGGTGAACCACATCCATGATCGTCTAGCGTTTTGTGACGAGTAACATTTATTTAGGTCTTACAGTACAAAACAACTTTTAATGTGATTTACATTTCATGGTGCCTAATGCGTGCGTAACGCATTTTCGTCCTTTCCACGTGTATTGTTATGTCTTACTTGACACGGTAATTTTCACTAAAATACGAAATTTACATTATCCCTACATGCAACATACAGCCTACCCCACCGGTGAGTGACACATCTGTAGTGCTCATCTCACATTTCAAAAAACTGTCTATAATTACTCTACAGTAAAATATCCTCAAAATGCTATCATCGTCATCATCATCATTATAGACCTTAGCTAGAGGTAGGAAA